AAATGATTCGGGATGTTTTATGTCCCGAGAACCCACACTCCACGATTATGGTGTTTTCATTTATAGGAGAAAGAAAAAACTTGCAAAATGCACAACCTCATCACGCCCTTTTACTTGCACTTATAGAGGAACCCGATGGTCAAAAAAATGCTGATGAAGAAACAACAACACAGGAAGGGCAACCCACGTCTAAGGTGAGCTGAAACATATTTTTCTTATGTTGGAGTTCTTTCCCATGTAAGATCTCTCGATCATTATATGTTAGACGTGGAGGAAGAAAAAAATACCAGTAACTGTCTTGATACAGCTCCAACTGTCTCATTACTTTGGCATGACTCATACTGTCCTATCATTCTCTCGTATCAATGTTGATATCAGATGCCGTCAGCCGATAACCAATCAGATATCACACGAGAATGCATTTTGCCCTTTATGTTTGAAGGAAGAAAAATAGCTTCGCTCTTTATGTTTGAAGGAAAAAAAAACTTCTCTTTATTAGGCAGAAATTATATAGAGACCAAGGCCTGCAGACAGCCCATCTCACTCTACATGTACCTTAAGTACAGAATTCCATCTGGCAATTTGACAAACCATTAAAATTCCAATATTCTTTTGTAAGTTTGCTCGAGCGGAAAGGGCGGTTTTAAAACTGAAGCCTACCCAAGTGCTGTAATTTTTGCTGAAGAAATCACATGACTGCTCTGAAACTCCAGGGTAACCTGTTTCGTTAAGAATACTTAGAGGCGTTAAAATCGAGGTTTTCGAAACCTCGATTGTACAGTACATTAGGTACTGTATATGGACATATGCATTTATATGTAAATATTAACGGAGTTGATATTTACATGTAAAGAAACACCATCTGCACACAGTCATAACTGTGGCCTGGAATAAATAGCGGTCATAAATAAAGGAGGGAAAAAAGTGAAACGCAGAATGAAATAGAATGGATATTTCTTTTTGCAGTGTATTGCCCGAGCTCTTTTCTCTAGTATCAGCACAAATCAATCAGTAGAACCACTTGAGACGTCCTTAGATGCCACCGTTAAAGACAACCAGTCGTTAAATCCTCACGATGCAGCGGGTAACTTTTTTGGTACGGTTCAAAAAGAAAAGGTAACGAATGACTCATCTACAATTCAGGAATACTTGCTTGAGTATTCAAGTCGAGACGAGTCAACTCACCTGGACCCTGAAATCTCTCAAAACCTTGCTGACAAGTCTTTGGTGGCTTCACCACTCGTGAAAAAACGTTGTCGGTCTGACACAGACTTTGATGCTGGATCACCTGTTAACCAACGCCCATTACAATCGCCATGTTCAAAAGGCCTTCTCTCACCCTCCACACGGGCTGCCCTTTCGATTCTCGCCCAATCCACACCCAAACCCAGCATTTCAAACACTACCAGATCTGATGCAATGAATGATGACTTGAATCTGCCACGTGACACGCACCTGTTAGCTGAGTCGTCCAGCCTGTCCTGTCTGAAGGAGCAAGTCGAGGGTGAGTGTGATGTCACTTCTCGGTCAGCAGAGGCACGCTGCAGTCTTGACACCTCAGATTTATCTTTTGGATCTCCGTCAAGGTCTTTTGAAGCAGCTATGGCTCGTGAGACAGACAAGATTTGTGGTGGAGAGGAGAGAAATTCGCGATCTTCTGGACGAGGTATGTTGTGCAATACCTTTTTTTGCTCTAAAAAGGCTTCTATCAGTGTGTTAAGGCTGGCGAACAGTGAGGATAAATTAAATAATAGGTAATAATTAACTGAATAATAGTAAAAAACAAAACCTGCAGTCGAATTTATCATTCATATTCTGAAGAGAAAACGTAATCTACATGTATACTTTCGTGTACGGCAGTAAGTTACATTTAAGTTTTGACCCCTATGGTTTGACATATTATTAGAACACCTCAAAATTCGAGCTGCTCCGTGCCATAGAGAAGCGTGGAGGCCGTTAAGTGACCTTATTTGCCACCGGGGTCCTTCATGGAAACAAAAAGGAGATATATGTTTGGCCGTTCCGCTCCATTTATCTCTCCCAACGTAGCTCTGACTTCAGTTTCTATTGTCTTCCCAGGGTCCTCACTGTCGCCAATCACCAACAACCATTCGTTTCACACTGACGTTGCCTTTAACAAGACTGCAAGAGATGAACTTACAGAACACCCTGAAAGCCGACCAATTGCCACAGGAGGTGACTCAGCAATACTAAGGAATGAAACTACTGATTTTGCAGCGGGAACAGTAATGGACCAAGGGATTGAAGGTAAAGGATGTACAATTGAACACGTCAGTGAAGCCTTGTCTAGCAACCGAATCAATCCGACTGCTGAGACCGTTACGCCTCGATCATCCGCAAATGATCCCTGTAAACTTTTCAGAAGTTCTTCGTGCATAGCTTCTGGGTTAAGGCGATCCAGCAGACCAAAACGGTTCTTGTACCCAACTTCAAGCCACATAACCAAATCAGACAAAGGGAAGCGTGCCAGGGAAACTGCGGTAGCTGTTGACAGCTTGTCATCTCCGAGAAAAGATAAGGCAACTACACTAGAGAAACCCTTTCAGGAAAGAGTCAACGATGGAACAGAGGTTCGAACAATTTGTTGCAACAGTGCTACCGGTGAAAAAACAGTAACGGAAAAACTTAAAGTTGACGAGATTTGCGAACCTGACAGATATACCGCCGTTGTGTCTTCTGTCGATGACGCTGGTACAGACAATGATAAAGAGACAGAATCGACCATGAGTGAAGCAAAGACGTCGTTAACCTTTGAGGCTTATAAACGTAATGGAACAAGTAAAACCGATGATGTTCTTTTCGATATGGACGCACTGAGCCAGTTCCCAGTAGAAACTCTATTGTCACCTCCTCAGGCAAATTGTGCTAAAGTTGGGTTGAATGTCTTGAGTTGCTCATCCCCTAAGCCTGAAATAAATTTTACCTATTCGATTGAAAGCAAAGAGACAGGTTCTAGTATTGGAAAGAGGGATCTAAGTTTCCATAGTAGTGAAAGAGACAAATGCGTGTCAGACTCTCTGAACGAATTTACTCAAGCGAAGGCAGGAGGAATGCCGGCTGTAAACAGAGAAAGCGAAAGAGAGCATTCAGTCACCACATTAAGCGAGGAAACACCATTTGTAAACAGTGAGCATTCTTGCTACCGAGGGAATGGACTCGTAGAACGTGAATTGCAGCAATTTGGAGCGGGCGAAGAAATCAATTCTTACATCAAAAAGCATGCGTCATCATCGGTACCTTCGGAGTTTCTTGGCTTTTCAACGGCTAGCGGTAAACAGGTCCAGGTCTATGAAGCCGCATTCAGAAATGCGAGGAAAACATTACTAGAAATCGATACTGAGTTGAATCTAAACCGCAGTGTTCCAACTAGAAAAGGGGGCGCACTTTGCGACGGCAGAGCTACAGACAAACAAAGGACCTCAGAGAGGGACGGTTATGGCACTCTCCTTGATTGCCAGAAATTGCCTTTTAAAGGGGCGGGAAATATTGTGGCGACCGCATCAAGGATCCCTTTGGATGGCGTGAAGAAACGAAAGCGCGAAGAATTTCCACGTTTTGTCCCTTGTACTGCTTCAGCCAGTGCAAATGAAAACTATGACTTGCAAAACGTCGACGAGGTTAAAACTAAACAAACCGATGACTATAATGACTCGCTACTTGAGGATTTACTGAATGACTGCAAGCGAAAACGGCGAGATTCCTTAAAGACGATAACAGAAGAAAACGAAAGAATTAAAATGGTCGCTGAGGTAAAAATCCCTACTCCTGAGTCCAACGGTCCACAATTTTTGAGAGGAAGCATTGGAGGTCGTGACGGTTCTAACAGTCAATGCCTTAAGTCAGCCCCTATGTCAGAGGCAGCCGTAATTAACAGTACAACTGTTGAAACTGACAATAATCTGAGTAGCGAACGTCAAAGCTCAGGTGGGTTTCTTAATATTTCAATCACAGCCGGTAAAACTAAAAAGAATTCTTTATTTGCTGGTAAGGGCAAGAATGATGACAACATTTGTGAAATGCGTTTGAAAGACTCGTCAGAGGAGCACTGTGATAACGTGACGGAGACGTCTTCATTGGTTTCAAACGTAGGTCGCTTTCATTCCGCTAGCGAAAATAACAGTAATAATAATAGTATTCCTGCTCTTCAAACTGCCTCCGGAAAGATCTTACAGCTGTCTGAAAAAGCCTTAAATAAAGCAGGAAGTATAATGAATCAGGTTGACAGTTGTGATGAACAAAATGTTTGGAATGATGGGGAACATGGAGACCCTTTATCATTAGAAAAAGCAACGTTTTCTACACGCCAAGAGTTATCAGAGCAGGGAAATGCGAAAAAGAAAGAAAATACAATTAAATTTGGAGGTTTTCAAACAGCCTCTGGTAAGAACTTAATGCTGTCAAATGAGGTAGTGCAGAAAGGGGTTGAAATAATGCAACAGATAGACCGATCCCTCCAAACTCCCGAAAAGGAAGACAGTAAATTGTCCAGTGAGTCAATGAATAACAGAGCGAAGACAACAAAAGGTACTGAAACATGTCTTGAAGGAGGGAAAAGAAAAAGTGCTTCATATCATCCCATTTCATCTGCTATGGATGATGAATTATCTAAGGAAGAAAATGGCACAAGTATTTCTGGCTTTCAAACTGCAAGTGGAAAGAGGGTTACATTGTCAAACGAAGCCCTTCAGAAGGCTGTATCGATTATGAAGCAGATAGAAAAATCTCCCTCAAAAGGCAACTGTGCCCCTTATCCAAAGCGTACACTGGCGGTCTGGAAGCCCGAAAAACCACCTGGTATCAGCGTTAAGATGTCAAGAGAGGCGATGGAAAAAGGGGTGATGATTGTGCAGGAGATTGAAAAATCTTTTGATGAAAGCAAGTTCCATACAACATCTTGCCAAAGTGGTAAAACAAGTTTTGCTGGCTTTCAAACGGCAAGTGGGCAAAGAGTTACATTTTCTAAAGAAGCACTTGAAAAGGGCACAGTAATAATGCAGCAGACTGACAGATCTCTTGCAGAGAGCAAGGACGATAACGCATCTTGGCAAAGAAGTAAAACAGGTTTCTCTGGCTTTCAAAGGGCAAGTGGGCAAAAAGTTACATTTTCGGAAGAAGCACTTAAGAAAGGCACAGCAATAATGCAACAGATTGACAGATCTCTTGTAGAAAGCAAGGAGAATACCGCATGTTGGCAAAGCAATAATACAGGTTTCTCTGGCTTTCAAACGGCAAGTGGGCAGAAAGTTACATTGACGGAAGAAGCACTTGAGAAAGGTACAGCAATAATACAGCAAATTGACAAATCCCTTGAAGAAGGCAAGGCCAATATCGCATCTTGTCAAAGGAGTAAAACAGGTTTCTCTGGCTTTCAAACGGCAAGTGGGCAAGAAGTTACATTCTCGGAAGAAGCACTTGAGAAAGGTACAGCAATAATACAGCAGATTGACGTATCCCTTGAAGATAGCAAGACCCATACCGCGTCTTGTCAAAGGAGTAAAACAAGTTTCTCTGGCTTTCAAACGGCAAGTGGGCGAAAAGTTACATTTTCTAAAGAATTACTTGAGAAAGGTACAGCAATAATACAGCAGATTGACAAATCTCTTGAAGAAAGCAAGGTCAATATCGCATCTTGTCAAAGGAGTAAAACATGTTTCTCTGGCTTTCAAACGGCAAGTGGACAAAAAGTTACATTCTCGGAAGAAGCACTTGAGAAAGGGACAGCAATAATACAGCAGATTGACAAATCTTTTGAAGAAAGCAAGGCCAATCCCACATCTTGTCAAAGGAGTAAAACAAGTTTCTCTGGCTTTCAAACGGCAAGTGGACAAAGAGTTACATTCTCGGAAAAAGCACTTGAGAAAGGGACAGCAATAATGCAGCAAATTGACAAATGTCTTGAAGAAAGCAAGGTCAATACCGCGTCTTGTCAAAGGAGTAAAACAGTTTTCTCTGGCTTTCAAACGGCAAGCGGACGGAGTGTTGAACTTTCTAAAGAAGCACTTGATAAAGGTACGGTAATAATGAAGCAGATCGACAAATCTCTTGAATGGAGTACTAAAAGCAATGCTGTATCTTCACGACTGAGCAGAAGCGGTTTTATTTCTGAGTTTCAACCTGAAGGTAGACTGAGCGCTGAAAAGTCTGGCGAAACTTTGGAGAAGGCAGCGAAGTTAGTGAATCTAACTGACAAAACATTTGGAGAGAAAGATGACAAAGGTCAGTCTTGCACGACTTGTCGGTCTACTTTCTCAGGCTTTCAAACTGCGGCTGGTAAATCGGTACAAATCTCTGATTCGGCGCTCGCTAAGGCGAGAGAAACAATGGCTAGTATCGACAGTCATAATTGTTCAGTGTCTTCGAATTCAGGAAATCCTCCATTTCACACAGAACCCAAACGAAATAGTACAGCCCCTGCTGTTTCTTTTGAGGTGGAAGGTGTTGTTATGCCTTTACCAGTAGAGAGTCACCTTTCTGAGCATGACCAGGTCGTGACGCGTGAGGTGCTCGAAAGCTCCGAAGCTCTCCTTGCTGATGAATCATTTATGGATCTCTCGGAGTACCTTAATGAGAAGGAAGAGCGATCTGCTGCTGAGAGAAGTTATGTTGTGCAATACCTTTTTTTGATCTAAAAAGGCTTCTATCAGTGTGTTTAGACTGGCGAACAGTGAGGATAAATTAAATAGTAGGTAATAACTAACTGAATAATAGTAAAAAACAAAACCTGCAGTCGAATTTATCATTCATATTCTGAAGAGAAAACGTAATCTACATGTATACTTTCGTGTACGGCAGTAAGTTACATTGAAGTTTTGACCCCTATGGTTTGACATATTATTAGAACACCTCAAAATGCGAGCTGTTCCGTGCCATAGAGAAGCGTGGAGGCCGTTAAGTGACCTTATTTGCCACCGGGGTCCTTCATGGAAACAAAAAGGAGATATACGTTTGGCCTTTCCGTTCCATTTATCTCTCCCAACGTAGCTGTGACTTCAGTTTCTATTGTCTTCCCAGGGTCCTCACTGTCGCCGATCACCAACAACCATTCGTTTCACACTGACGTTGCCTTTAACAAGACTGCAAGAGATGAACTTACAGAAGACCCTGAAAGCCGACCAATTGCCACAGGAGGTGACTCAGCAATACTAAGGAATGAAACTACTGATTTTGCAACGGGAACAGTAATGGACCAAGGGATTGAAGGTAAAGGATGTACAATTGAACACGTCAGTGAAGCCTTGTCTAGCAACCGAATCAATCCGACTGCTGAGACCGTTACGCCTCGATCATCTGCAAATGATCCCTGTAAACGTTTCAAAAGTTCTTCGTGCATAGCTTCTGGGTTAAGGCGATCCAGCAGACCAAAACGGTTCTTGTACCCAACTTCAAGCCACGTAACCAAATCAGACAAAGGGAAGCGTGCCAGGGAAAGTGCCGTAGCTGTTGACAGCTTGTCATCTCCGAGAAAAGATAAGGCAACTACACTAGAGAAACCCTTTCAGGAAAGAGTCAACGATGGAACAGAGGTTCGAACAATTTGTTGCAACGGTGCTACCGGTGAAAAAACAGTAACGAGAAAACTTAAAGTTGACGAGATTTGCGAACCTGACAGATATACCGCCGTTGTGTCTTCTGTCGATGACGCTGGTACAGACAATGATAAAGAGACAGAATCGACCATGAGTGAAGCAAAGACGTCGTTAACCT